GACTGTCGTCTTGTGAAATTTGTTTGCCTGCGTCCGGCAGGAGAACATTTCTTTCTGCTGATCAGTCTGTCATAAGGATGTTTTTTATGTACGATGCTGTGCTCTTTAAATTGGTTTTGTCTTATCGTTCGATCTGCGATAAGCGCTCTTGCATTGGGGGTCATCAAGCCTCGCATCTTCATTGCTACCAGTATCTGCCGGTTCATTAGACAGTTCTACTAACGAGTGTTGACAATGTTGCACAACATAATTGCGATCAAGCATTTTTGGCTTAGCATCTGCAGGATCGACGTCTGATGAATGATGACTGGAGCTTACCTCTAGTTGTGAACGTTTCGTCTTTTGCGTTGTTTGTAACAACTGGCACTTCTGATAATGGCTTATCCAAAATGCGTGAAGCCGACAGGTTTCTTCTTAGAAAAACATTTGGTTTTCATTAATTCAGGCAATCCCGAGATGCCGTAACAGGTCAAAGGTGCGTTCGGTGCATCTTACTACCTGCTGAGACAGCTTGGAATGATTGTATTATCTCCAGCAACTGAATGATTGCGCCTCAGCTTCCCTAACGTATGGCACTGCCTGTCGCCCTTAGCCTGATAAAGAGACTTTCGTTTATTGTGTCGAGTGATGTTTGCTATTTGCTGGGATTAGCGGCGTCTCCATTGAAGAAATTGCTCTACGTATTGTAAAATTCACCATTTTAGCAGCCAACTGCGTATCTTCTGAGCTAAGGTGTGCTGTCCTAGCCAGCTATCATCTGTTCTCAGGATTTCAGCCAACTATTTCCTTGCATGTTTGCACCCATTTGCACTGCTTCATTACCTCCGCCTGAACAGAGCTCTGCTGGCGATCTGTTTACTGTTTCGCTCCGAAACTTCAATAAAGACTGCAGTTGGAGAAACAACTGGTCGTGCGGAGCATCTTCATCTGCTGTTGACAGTCTGATTATATATGCATTTCATTATTCTTAGTGTTATATAGCACCTTTAGCGTACTTCCGTACGGCTTTGCAAAGAAAGACTCCTTGTGTTCCTATTATGTCATCCAGACCATATGTCCAAACCATCGCAGCAGTGACCTATCGACCCGAAAAATAGGTGGCTCACTAATCAGTTTTTTCAAGTCGCTTCCTACATGCAATCCTTGAAAGAAACTTCATTTCTACGCTTGTGTACGAAATCACACTCTTTCGGTCAGTGCCTAATATTCATCGCATTCATGGCCATGGTAAAGTTAGATGCCATACTGACTTGGAAACAGATACCATCGTGCTACTGCCTAACTCTTTTTTGCTGTTCCGTTACTGTGCTCAGCTGACCGATTCGTACTGTTTCAAGACCTGTTTGCTGTCTTTCAGAGTGCTATAGTAACGTTTCTTAAATTTCGCGTGCATTCTGTATGCTGGTCTATAGTTCCTCTCGCAACGGTTTAACCACCAACCTCCACAGTCTTTTAACGGTTTGACATTGATTGTGTTGTACACAATTTGCATATTGTAGATCGCACTGGATCCATCTTTGCTGTCTATATCCCACTAGCAAACAAAAATTAAAAAGTTCATGTACAGTGCGGAGAAAAGAAATCAAAGTTTTAAAAAACGATTGTTTGTAGCTCTAATGGCATCTTTCGGATTGCTGTCGTTTCTCAAAACTTCTTTTTTAGTCTTGACATTGTTCACTTGACACTCTCATTTGCCGTAATCGTTTATGCGTGAATTGATATCGTTTGAAAAAGCAGTTTCCTTCAGCGGCATTGCTTCTTTGTTCTTCGAGGCGACGATTTTCACTTTTTCTTGCTGCACTGCCGCATCTTCGACGTGCACATCTGCTTAAGCGACGGACTGCAGTCGGTACCGAACCCACCTGATCGCTGTTCGACGTTGTATTCCTCACTTCACTTCAACCAGAAACTGGTTGGGCACTCCTGTTCGTCTTCTTTGCGTTGTGCGTTAACAGGAGACTAAAAGTGCCTTCGAAACTGGTTGGCGAATACGGAGAAACTTTTCCTAGACTTCTGACTGCGAACTAACTTCTTTGAACCGCATGCGTGTTGTTTTTCAGCCCTCATCGTGTATTTGAACCCGCTCCCGTCTCGTCCGTCTGCATGCCCTCGCCGCTAGCGCATTACGTGCGCCATACGACGATGGCTGATCCCATTTTCTTCGCCTCATCGTTCGTGTTTTACTCTTCCCTGTGATATCCAATAGCTGAGCAGAAATCTCCCATTTCTGTCAATGAAAACTCGCATTGATCGTGCGCCAGGGTTTGTAGCGATGCGTCAGTTGCTTCTTTGCCAATATTTGGTAAAACGTTGAACTCATACCGATGTCATATCGTCGATGATTGGAGGGGAATATTTCTTCTGATTTCATGGCTAACATCACAAAAGACTAGAAAAGAACTATCGTCTTTAAAACCCACCCGATATTTAGACGAAATCTGCATCGTCGTCGAACGATGTCCATTCTTCGACTGCGACCTATGCTATTTCGGTCGAAAGGTATGATTGGTGGTGAACAAGTGATGTTTTTCTTGTCCTTCGTGCTGCTGACCACGGAATCAGGAGACGTAGTCGCTTTCTGATGATTCTTTCCTTTCGATTCAGTTGGGGTCACTATCTAATCAAAGAATAAGTAACAGTTTTCGGTTCAGAGGATAGACAAGATGATTAAACGATTTCGTCGAGCTTAGATTTTTTTAATCAATCCGTATGATGGCGCCCAGTTCTTCTGCCCTGAGTTTTAGACAGAATGTTTTTCTTCTATGCAAATTTGCCTAAGTTTTGCGAGAAACGTATTTCGCCTTCTAAAATATCGTTACTCGACCGCTATCCAGTTTATATTAGGGTTTCGCGTTTCGGAAAAACATAATCAAGTTTTGACCTCCATATAGCGCGAAGTGTGTTAATTTCTTTCCGTTTTCTGATGTCATTCCATCGAACAGCATCCGGATCTTCCTTTCGACTAACACTTAAGTCGCCATCGTTTACTGTAAGGGTGAACGATATGTTGCAGAGATTTAGCATGTTTTTGTGCATTCGCACAGACTTTTAATATAATTACTCAATATAAACATAATACAATTATGAAGTTTTGAAGTGGAAAACGGTAAGAAGCGTTTATTGGTGGCCATCCTTTTGGCAGAGAGCTATCCATCCTGAGAGTGAAGGTCAAAAGTGGGTCAACTTGCTGCTATAGAATTACTTTTCTAAATTACAACAATCGTTACGTCGTACATTTTCTCTAGCTGAATTATTCATTCTAATGTGTAGTTCTGTTAAGTGGTTCTGATTGGATCTTTCCCTATGTAATTGGACTTCCAATGACTTTGAGCATCGATGCATAGTTG